AGGAAGGAAGGAAGGAAGGAAGGAAGGAAGGAAGGAAGGAAGGAAGGAAGGAAGGAAGGAAGGAAGGAAGGAAGGAAGGAGAGGGAAGCGGGTAAATGGGGAGACTGCGGTGTTCCCCCTTCAGTGACCTCAGGCTCTACCAGTCTGTTTTAAACCGGACCATTCCCTCTGCTAGCCGCTGTCTCCCCGCCGCCCCAGGACGTCTGCAGCCCCGCGGCAGGCGCGTCACATACCACGGTGGCGATGTAGATGATCTTCTGCACGGTCTCGACTTTGTCTATGCAGCGCCGCAGCAGGCACTGCGCGTCCGGCCGGGCCCGGGAATAGGCGTCGCTGAACCGGGACAGGAGGGCAGCCTTGCGCGCCACGTTGGACAGCTTGGAGCGATGAGGGGACGGGCTCCTGACCTTCGCGACTGTGGTGGAGGGGCTGGAGGGCCGGCTGCGGCTGCGGCTGCGGCTGCGGCTCCGGCTCCGGCTCCGGCTGCGGCTGCGGCTGCGACGGGTGGGACTAGGAGATCGGCTTTTGGAGGACCTGCTGGTGAGCGAGAAGCAGCCGGGGAAATACTTCGATTCACCTCTCTCTGCTGTTCCTGCACTCTGGTTCTCCTCCCCACATAAACTGCAAATGATACCCAGGATGACTTCCCCACTAGCCCTGAATGAATACGTTGTGTCTCCGGGGGGCCTCAAATATGACCACAAGCAAGAAACAGTACTCCGACTTTGCATAGTGAGTTAGGATTTATAAAGCACTTTCATTCAGCTCCTCTGTGTATCCTGCAAACAACCCTGGGAGGCGAGGTTTGATGTTTGGCCAATTTACAGATGAGAAACTTGAAGCTCCTAAAAGTTAATAGGACTGTCCCAGAGTAACCCAGCTAGCAAAAGCCAGAGTTAAAGAAGGCAGATTTGGGTACTTCTTACCCTGACCTTGGGATACTAGCACATCACACAAGCACTTCAGAAGAGCCTTGTGATATAAAATGGATGAACACCAAGCAACGAGAAAGAAGATCTCTGTTCTCATCCCAGCTCCACCATATCACATCAGTGGGACCTTTATTATATTTGCCATTATTTCTCATCTTCAGAGCCTCAGTTTTCACATGAATAATTTTTGCCCTATTTCAGGGTGGGGGTGGGGGTTGGAAGATCAGGTGAGCTAATACATTAGGATGTACTTGGTAAATTGTAAGCAGTACATCAGTGAAAAGCATATTGTTACTACTAAGTATGAAGTAAATTATCAGACTAGCTAGCCCAAAGAAAATGGGTCCCCGAAAAAGAAGTTTTATAGGAGAAACTATGGGACAAAAGGTAGTGTTAAACTCAGTGCAGTGGTGTGCTGATAAGCAGACTCGACGACGGGGTCACAGGGGGGAGCCCTCCTTTATAGTGTTTGCCAATTCCCATGGTGCAGATACTCCCACGGCAGCAGAAGGGCACAGAATCAGTTCTTGGGAGCCAATACAAGTTAGTACCAACACCACACTGTCAGAGTGATTCCCAACACTGAAAGACTACAGTGACATTTAGAGAAATGGGGACAGGAGGGGAGATGACTTTTATAGCCTGGATCAGGGCACGTTGAAGGGCTGGGGGATGGGTGTTAGAAAAAATAGAGAAATGCGGAGACTCCAAAGAGAAACATCCTACTTTGTCCTTACTTAACATTGTCTTAACATCTGTCCATCAGGAAAAAGGGATTTCACAAGAACACTTAACCTATACACGCTATCAAAACAAAGGAAATAATCTAAAGTAAAACAAACCATCATCACTGGAGAGAGGTCTCCTAGGCCTCAAAGAAACGGACCCTCACATTATGGATTATTCTTTCAACATGGGTACCACCTCTGGCATTAGATGCCCACACAAGTCTGGTTTCAGCCAAAGAACTTTCCTACCCCCTATCTCTCAGCCCAAAACATCCAGGAAGTGTTTTCTCACTCTCTCTGGAAGGGTACAGTTAAAGAAAACAATCACTTTACAATTCAAAGCCTTCCCATACTGATGAGGTTCTGGTTCAGGCTGTTGTTTAACTTTTTTCCCCCCAAGCCAGGATTTTTACCACTAATTCAGCAAAAAGAGCTGAAATGAAAAGATCTGTGAGAGTTTGTCAGACCTTCCGGAAGACAACGCTATCTCGTCCTTCAGATTTTGGAGCTGTTTCTCATAGTCGGATGTCACTTCGGATTTCCGCGGGTCAATGCTCTTCTTGAGCGAGCTCCGAGGCTGGACGCTCCGCGACTCCGAGCTTCGATGCTCCGAGCTCCGATGCTCTGAGCGCCTAGGGTCTGAGCTCCTGTGGCCTGAGTTTCTGTGGCGGGCATCCTCCTGGGCTTGAAGAGATTTAAGCCTAAATAGCAGAGAGAGAAGGAGAGGAAGAGAGAAAGATATGGAGGGAGGGAGAGAGAGAGGAAGAGAGGGAAAGAGAGAGATGGAAGGGAGGAGAGAGAGAATAAGAGAGGTAAAAGAAGAGAGGAGAGAGAGGAAGGAAGGAAAGGTAATAAGCAACAATTGGCATGCTTGGCAACAGAGGTTACTCTACTTAGCATGCCATTACTGCATTAGAAAACTATGATGGAAATACACATGAAACACACAAATTAGCAAAGAGCAGAATTGTCAGGGTCAGGGTGCCACTCCAAGTCTGCAGCTTGCATGGGAAAACGTTCCTAAAGTAAGGATCTTCATGAAGATCCTCTGGCAAAAGAAGAGTGTACCTACTGGTATATTCATACCATTCCACACTAAACTGATCTTAAGTGCACAAAACTCTGAAAACATTTGACTTCCAAAACCTAGTCCAGAAGCTGTTTTAAGATATAATCTCCTACCCTCATTAGGTCTTCAATTCTCTAAATGGATGGAATGGGGGGGAAACGACAATAGAAATTGAATAACACCCACGAGACTAGCTAGAAGTGTGAACTTATGAAAATAATATAGCACAGAAACAAACCAAAAAAACTTTAGAAATAAAATTGGCGTCCTCCTTAAGATATAAAGAGGCATGGCCACCATAAAACAGAAGTGAAAGTCATAGGAGGAGAACATGCCAGGATGAAAATGACAATGGTGTAAGATGAAAAGAGAAGAGGTAAGATTAAGAAGGATGTAGAAGCTAAACATGTAGTAGAATTAGAAGCCGCGCTAGAAACAGCAAAGAAGGGAATCAGTGCTATAGGAAACCAATGAGTAACATGATCAATGAATCTGAGAAGGTCTGCAAAATAGGAAATAAGAGATTATAATGATGATGAGGGGAAGACAGACATGCAAAATAGAACAGTGCTCCAAGCTAAGATTCATGGATGATCCTGAAGAAATCAGAACAATTGGAATATGTGTGATCATCAAAAGGCATGTTTGTGTGTGTGCATGTATGTGTACATATGTGTATATATACACATGTACATACATATAATACACCTCCAACGTTCTCTTTTGGGAGTGGGGGAATCAAAATTAAGATCAAAGAAGATACAACATTAAAGCATCAGTGTGTATTTTCCCTTTCTAGAAATTTATCTTTAGGGAAAAATTTGAAATTTAAACTTAGATTTTCCACAAAAATTATCCCAATTTTATTTCCAATGCTGAAAATTAATATCCGAGTAAATATTCAATATTAGGGAAATGCCCAAATGATGGAATATTTAAATATTTGTTTAAAACTAAGTTTTGCTATATTTTTTCCTTAGTGATGTTAGAGGAAAACAATGTCAAGCGACATTGTGTATCTTATTCTGTAGTCTCAACTCTGTTTTTAATATATTAATTGGAAAGAATGTCAAATGGTAATAGTAACTAGCTCTGAAATTATGAGAGGGATTTTATATTCCTTTATACTATATGATGTACTTTGGAAATTTTCTATGGTAGCTAGATAATTTTTTGTAGCAAGACAAAGATATAAAACATTAATAAAAAATATTGTTGCCTTTTCTCTTTGATTGTGAACAGATTCTTTCATATTGTAAAGGAGCACCCAAAAAGCTAAATTCAACGATTAATCAGCAGGCTGCAATAATCCTGTCATTTTTTCCTTACTGCTTTTTTAGCTGATTTATTTCCTCCTCTGCAGCCAAAAGGGATATGGCCGATCTGTTCTTGGTTTCTTCAAGAGTCTTTTCAGTTTCAGCAAGACTGTAAAAGAAATCAGTAACTAAAAACAGATTTTTCAAATTGGCAGAATTTCTAAATCAAGCCATAGCTTCTCTTGGGAACTTTTGGCATATGATATAAATTCAACATAAACAAGATCAAGTTATAAGACATGTGCATTCAATCAGATAATATCATAAATATGATGGTGGACTTATGCACAAAAACATGCTAGCATCTTGTGCTCAAAGTCAAGCACTTACAAAGAAATTACAGAGCTACTATCGCCAAAAGACTATATAATGATTATTAATATTAGAATGTAAAGGACAAAGAAACTTCTTTAATTCCTCCTTCTCACCCTCCCAATTCACCTGCTCTAATTATACCAAATCCCCAGGTTGCCTCTCTCTATAAAATCTCCATTTTTCTGCAATATACCAGTATCTACTCTCATTACTTTGCACTGTGGAGCTACATTTGACTTAACTTTCCCAAACTTCCTAAATATAAAAAAATTATTTGCCCACCTATAAAGTCTTCCACAATCACACTCGAGTACCAGGTATTTTATGTCTTCCTGCCTCTGACTTCCACCACTTATTGAGCACGATTTCCCTGAGTTTTCAACATAGCTCCATCACTGTTAGTTTCAAGGACTGTCTTCATTGCAGAAAAATCATTATAAATCATACTCAGTCTTTAGGTGACATTGGATGAAGACCAGTGGTTCTCAGTTAAGCTACCCTAGTACACTGAGACATCATGGATTGACAAAGGTTTCTTGACTTCTCTGACCCCGCCTCCCTGGAACATCCAGGCTCTTTCTTCACAGCAGTCCTGAGGCTAAGAGAGTACAACTGCTCTCTAAACTCACACCAGCCTTCCTCCTTCCCTTTAGACAGAAGAATAGTGGAAGGTAAAACACTGGGATCCTCACCTAGACAATGAAGCAGACTGAGAAACAATGGGCTAACAGGATCCTTGTCAATCCCACAGATCCCATCCAGTCACCCAAAATTCCATCCACTCCTCCTCACCCTCTAACAAATGCCCACTCATCAAGTTGTCCGCCTGCCACCCCGACTCTCCCAAGCAGTTTTTCTCCTCTTCTCCTGAGCTCCACTCACATTTAACTCATGACATTCACACTGTAAACTATTTGAGGGCAAAGATTTTATTTTATTCATCTGTACCCCCAGCAGCTAAAACAGTGCCTGTTACATAGTAGATTTTTTTAAATGAAAAATGAATGAATGAATGAAATGTCTAAAGTGTAAAAGAAAGCCAAAGTAGCAATAACTTCACAATATGGCTATTGGAGGTTGAAAGGAAATTAGTGTGATTTGATTCAAATGTGAACATGTTACAGATTTTTTAAAGTAAATATAGGAAAACAAACATTTTTATCAAGAGAAAACTGTAGAAAATGAAAAGAAGAAAAGAAAAAGAACCACAAGAAGAAGAAAAGCACAAACATGAATAATGAATAAGGTTTTTTTCTCTTAACACATAGTACACATGTGTGAACAAATAAACATACAAGCAAACATACATGCTAATTTCACATGCCTGGATGACATACAGAGAAGAAAGAGAAGTACATTCCTGTGCCAAAAATTGTTTTAATCAGGTTGACATTTTATTTAAGTGTTTTTTTACATATTCATTCATTGAACAGATCATTGAGAATTTACTATGTGCCAGGCATGATGCTCAGTGCTGCAGATACAACCGTGTTAAAATAGCAATAGCAATACAGGCACAAGACAGTAACCCTTTGGATCTTCCAGTCTAGTGGGGGAAATAGATCATAAATATGCAAGAAAGTCCATTTTTAAAAGTTCCCAGTTGTGGTAAGAGCTATTATGAGAAAAGTAGATCACTGTGAAAGAGGATTAGAGGGAGACAAGAAAGATATCTCAGTGGATAGCGGTCACAGACAGACTCTGAGAAAGTAACATTGAAGCTGAGACCTGAAGGATAACGAAGAGCCAGCCATGTAAAGAGCCAGAAGAAGACCAGAAAGTTCTTTCAGGCAAATGGAAGAGCACAGGCAAAGGCTTCAGGGTGAGGAGGTAGACAGCAGACTGGGTCAAGATGGAGCGAAGTTGGGGCCAGATCAGGCAGGGCACTGAGAGAGTCCTGGTAAGGAATTTGGAAATTTTTTTCCTGCATATAAAAGGAGGATACTAATACCTTTTAAGCAGAGGGGTGACTTGATACAATAAAAATATAGACACTTGCTATGCAGAAAATGGATTGTAGTTGAGCAAGAATGAAAACAGAGAAACCAGGTAGAAGGCAACCTGTTCAGGCAAGAGATATCAGAGGCTTGAATTAGGGTAGTGGCAGAGGAATCAAAAGGAAGGGACAATGTGAGAGATGTTTAAGAGACAGATTCAACTGGACATTCTAATAGATTGGATATAGGAGATGAAAAAAAATCCAGATTCATAACCAGAGTCCAGGCATAAAATCTAGCAATCTTCCCTTGTCCGGGGTTTTGTCAAACTGAGCAGACCTGTGCCCGTCGGCCCTGTATTATTGGAATTTGCACATTTGGAACTGAATCAGAACCAAATTGGTCTCTTCTCCACAAGACTAGATGTGGGGAAGCTTCTTAGGTGAGCCATTCATTCAATAGCAGGCAGCACCCTGGCATTAAGAGACATGTATGCAGATTAAGAGAGGGGAGAGCTGGCTACCATAGGAGTGCAGGGAACAGACGTTATCATTTGTGATACCTTAAATTTAAAAAATAGAATAAGAACCACGGGTTCTTAAACAAAACAAAACTAGGAAATCCAGGGAAAAGCAGCAAGCACCTTCATGTAGGCAACTTCCAAATGGCTCAGGAGGGATGAAAGTGTGCAGATAGAGCGTACACATATATGATAGGGCAAGTAGGGCAAAAGGCATATGAAAAGATAGATGGGTGTTCTTAGTACTATTCTTGCAAATTTTCTGTGTTTGAAATAATTTCCAAATAAAAAGTTTTTAAAAAGCCAAAAACATGCATTCATAACTTTCTTGGTCCATGGTGCCCCTTATGGGTAACAACAGAGCCATTGTAACAAGAAAGAGGAGTGGGAAATGCTGCTAGTACTAGTGCTGAGATGTCAAAACCAGCAAAGTGTTGAAGGCCTGCCTCACAACTAGAGGCAAATGGAGGGGCCCAGGTTACCTGCAGCAGTTGCCAGGTAATGTCCCAGGAGACCCAACCAGAAGGCACAACTCAGAACCCATGGGCACAAGACACTAGTGCCAGGTGGAAACAAAGACAGCAAGAACCCAGAGGACAGTATAAGACCAAAAACCCCTCACCTCCAGCACCAGGAGAGTAGGCAAGCATCTCCCCTACAGGCCAATCTAAGGAGGGACGGTTGAGGGGAAAGGAGACCCCGTGAGAGGGCAAAAGCAGCTCTTAGTGGAAGTTTGCACTTGTAATTAACTTAGGCAAGCATCTCCCCTACAGGCCAATCTAAGGAGGGACGGTTGAGGGGAAAGGAGACCCCATGAGAGGGCAAAAGCAGCTCTTAGTGAAAGTTTGCACTTGTAATTAACGGAATATTGACAAAATAAGGACTATAATAAACCAGCAAAAACCTTATTACCTGGAAGTGGCAAATTTAAGGATCCTCCTTCCCCCATTCAGCTGACATGAGTTGAAATAAATTGTAAAAATTCAGAGAAATTATGCTTTTTGCATATTACATTTGTAAATTTTGACTGCTGCAGCTATGTAACTGCTCAATTGACTACGATTCCAATTGAAAAATGAACTGGGTGTGCATGGAGGTGCAAGCACAGAGAAAAATGTCTGGGGTAAAATATACCAAAATGTTAACAGAGACGAGATAACAGTTAGGTGGCTTTCATCTTTACATTCTTATTTGTCGTATGCCTTTTGAGAAGGTAACCTGTATTGCGTTTATAATCACTGCAATTTTCTTTGTAGTGATTCTCCAAGCTTGCTACCCTGGCTCTGCCCACAGTATGCATT